CAAAAGTTACAGTCACAGACTAAAAATTTATATGCCATTAAATTCGTCAGACGATTCTGCACTAGAATATGTATAGAAATTCTAGATATATGTATAAATGTTCAGTCTAGACGCGAGTATACAAGTTGCTATTGGAAAATGATGAATAACCACAATAATCATATTTTGATGATATAAACCGCGATATCTCTAAAAGTTACAGTCACAGATTAAAACGTTATATGCCATTAAATTCGTCAGACGATTCTGCACTAGAATATGTATAGACATTCTAGATATATATATATATATATATATATAAAATTAGCTCATGAAAAAGCAGGAATAGGGACAGATGAATGCAAATGTTAATAGAAAATGTCAACATTTCAAATTATTTAAATGAAATTTTAATGTTTTGAATTGTTGTAGGCACTTTTTATTGTACAACTTTGCATACTTTCTATTGTTTTTACGCATTCACATAACATATAGCTATGGAAACAAATACATTATTGATATTCAGTACAGTATATACGATATCAGTGTACTGTCTGTACATTTAAACATTGACGTATGTAAATTTTACGCCTGTAGGCCTAATATTTACAGTAATGTATTATATACATAAAAATAAGTGTCATTTAATAATATTTTTATTTTATTTCTAAATTAGTAATTTAATTTAGTTAGATAATTCAGAAAGCATGATATTGTCAAATTAGTATATAGAATATAGTCTGTTATTTAGTAAATAATTACCTAAAAAATGTAATTATATTTTATAAATGCATTAGAAATATGACCTAGGAAATAATTAATTTTTATGATTTAAAAATTTTTTTAAATATAATGTTTGTAATTAAAATTGTTTAAATTGTATACGAAAATAGAATTCGAGGGGAACATTTCGTTACGTAACAATCAGAGGAACTTTCAATTTTTACTTCTTACAATGAGGAAGGAGGCAGACCAAAAATAAAAAAAATCTTTTGCGTATATTTGTAGATAATTTCTTATTTAAGTAATTTAAATAATAAATCGTTTAATTCTTTCGAGAATTCTTGTCATTTTAATTATTTTTCTGAATTTTATATTGGACGATCAGGATAAAATCGTGATTTGCTTTATTTGTAATACTAAAAAGCAATATTTTTGAACGCATTATAAATAGTTATAATTGTAAATTTTTAATAGAAATAAGATAGCGGTTAAAAATCATCAGATTATTACAAAAACGACTTATTAAAATTGTTTTATTTAACAACATTGTTTCATAGCAAGATAGAATAGGACTACAAGTTGGAGGCTTATTCCAATTAAATGTTTATCCACGAAGTTAGTCAAGTGATTTATTCGAACAATTTCAATAAAATTAGTCAGTTTAGAAATTAAAGAAAATCCTTATCGAAAATATCCCATTTTGTCGTATTCGAATTGTAAATAGAAAAAGTTTACTATTCTTATTCGAACATTTAAATGATATTTTTCGTTTTTATTTTCATTTATTTGCTTAGTTTTAACAGAAAGGAACACGAAAACATTTCGAAAATGTGTTATAGAAGAAACAATTTTCGAAAATATATTTTCTTCGATTATTTTCTATGACTTACTCTACTTTTTGCGAATTGAAATTTCATATAGTCTATTACAATATTAACGTAACAAAATATTTTGAAATTTTTCTTTAATAAAATCGAAATTAATATAAATACAACGTATTTTGGTTGTATTTGAAAAGAAATGAAATAAATAAACTTGAAAGTTTTCTTGGAGACAAAAGACGTGTTGTAAAAGGAGTAACCGGAAACTTTCGCCGAGATTTCCAGATCAGATGATTCTGAAGTCGAGAGAGCGAGCGGATGGAGCCAAACTTCTTCTCCTTTTCGGATAAAGCGGTGAGCGCGCGTGAATTTAAAGTCGCGTGTGGGGAGAGAAAAGAGCCGAGAAGCGGCGCGTCGGAGGCAGGAAAGTAGCGGAGGATTGGCTGTCGTCCGAGTCTGGAGCGGGGAGAGTCTTCGCCGAGTCTGATGGAAAGGCGGTAGCCGAGACAGACAAAGATGCCTCTGGAAGGTCGGTTGCTTAGCGCCTTCGTTAAGAGAGCCGAACAACTTAAAAAATGGCAGGACTCGGAGACCAACCGCACTCCGGCCGACGTACCTCGGCACCGTCCCAGCCGGATCAAATTTCCCGACGGATGCGTCTTCCTATCCGCCTGCGCCGCCGGAGATAAGGAGGAGGTGAAGCATCTGCTGGACGGCGGAGCCGACGTCGACACCGTCAACGTGGACGGATTAACGGCACTGCACCAGGTAAGAAGCCGCCCACTTGCCCGGTAGTTTTATCATCTGGCATTTCCGGTCGAAGGGTAGCATTCGGAAGCCCGGATAGATCGCGATGGTCATAATTTACGAGTATTTCGGGGCGGAGAGTCTTCGGGCGGCATTATTTTCGCTCGGCATCCATTCGAATAACAGAAATGCCGCCCAGAAATAGAAACGTTGCGCCATCCGCACTAAAATCCCTAGAAACTATTTTCGTTTTGGTTTCGTCACGCGACAACCACATTGTGCCCCGCGTTTGTTTTCCTTGGACCCGGTACGCCGGCTGGGGAACCCTGCGTGGATCAGGTTGTCGAATGCCATGACCGACGTTCGTATCTTTTCAGGCATGCATCGACAACAATTTGGACATGGTCGAGTTCCTGGTGGAAGAGGGAGCCAACGTCGACAAGCAGGACAACGAGGGCTGGACCCCCCTTCATGCCGCCGTCTCCTGCGGATCAGTTGCCATCACAGAGTAAGTTACTCCGTGAGTTTGTTTAATTAATTAGACGGACGTTTCTTACCTGGATGCGAAAAATCATTTAGCCCATTCCGGTGACATATAAAAAGGCTTAATCGAACTCTATTAATTTTTATTTCGTCCAAATTATTCTACGGATCAACTGATGCGCTTCGTTATCCACACACAATAACGTTATTCATCCATCCAATGATTTATTTGAGCAAATTTTTAGATGATATAAATATATAAATGTCAAGTTATAAATATCAAATGAGAAATGGTAATTCTGTACTATTTTCCTTTTGATTCTCTGCAGCTTATTCTTCGGAGAAGAAAGAACAATTAAATAATGTTGGCCACAAACACTATAAATAGATTTTCTGTTTCTCATTAAAATGAAGGGCCCATTTTATCTTTTTAGTTATTGGTGTGACATTTCTACTCGTTTCCTTATTGGTAAAACTAATTTATGACAAAGAATACAAATAAAATACTTAAAAATTCAATATATCATACGTTTATTACACTTATAGCTACAAACTGCTATAACACCTGTAATTTAAGTTGTTTCTGTATCATTTCATTATAATAATGTAAGACATATTATAATGATGTGAAATATAGTGAAATATAAAGTGAAATATATTCACTTTATTTAAAGTGAAAAATAAAGTGAAATATATTCACTTTATTTCAAATGAGTTTTATGGTTTTGATAAATAAGCCTATGTAAAGTCACAACAAACTCTAAAAAATTAAATAATAAAAACAATATATAATTTACTAAATTATTAAATATTATTTTTATCTTAAACATTTACAACTGGATAATTTTTACACGTGAAAATTGTGACATTTTTATGCCTGTGGAATGTGACGTAATAAAAATTATGACATAATTACGTCATAATATATCCGAGCTTCGAATTTATAACTATATTAAACATAAATTGAATTTTTCTACACTGTAACAGCTAAAATCAATTGCGGTTGTAAACTCAGAAGTTATGTGGTTTTTCGGTTTTTTTCCAACATTTTAAATCGGTATTAGAACGAAGAAAATGAGCAATTAATTGTAAAAATAAAAGTGTTGATTTGGTTATTTGAAATTAAAAAATTAGTCGTAAGTTAGTCGTAGTTAAATTGGTTGTAGTCGTAAATAAAAAAGTTCCATAGCGCTATTCGGCGCCTCGAGTTTGAATTGCCATTATCTATGGAGTTTTTATGGGCAAATCATAGCTTTGTGGCCCAATTTCTGCAAAAGGCTTAAATGCAACAAAAATCAGCACAAAAACTGTGCAAGAAGTAATTTTCTCAGTTTTTGGCCGAGATGCACAGTCTAAAATCCAAGCAAGATGTTCACAAAGTAAAAGGGCTTCTCCCTACTTGAAAAAAATGTATTATACCAAGGCACCGCAATGGCACACCCTGGCAGACTATAGTGCTGATTTAGATAGATTTATTTGATATAATTTAACATAGAAAGACCATATCTTCCAAATTTACAATGTATGTTTATAAACCGTACAACCAAAAACTACATTGTATTTCTACAAACAAGCTTACCGCTTATACCGCCGCATACCTTGTACTGCATCTCTGCATCTACTTCAGAACAAACGTTCCATTCAAAAACGGCAATAAAGACCGATATTTCTTTCTTTTTACTCGCAAAAAAGTTAAATTTTTAAGATATTGTTTTCTTTCGAAGGTTTGATAATTCTTACTAAGTATGTAAGATATTTATTTTTCGTTTTTGTGTGTGTGTATGTATGAAAACATTAACATTATTAAATAACCAACCATTGTTTTATTATGCTTTTTACTCAATTTTAAATATTGTTGTTTTTACATAAATTTTCCATCATTTTATAGATAAATATAGAAAGGGTTCCACTTATAAGAGTTTTCTAAAACTTTAGCAAAGCGGAAAAAATATGCAACTATTAAAAACTCTTTGGATTTTTANATATTTGTTGTTAGTAATTTAAAAGACATTTTGAAACACATACGGAACGATAATAATTTTTTAAAATATAATAACACAAAAATGAAAAGGGAACTCGGTTACATTTATCGAGAGCCACAAATAATCCTTCAAAGAGCCGCATGTGGCTCGCGAGCTGCAGGTTGGCCACCCCTGCTATAGATCATGCATGGGATGTTCTCTGGGAGAGCTATAGTTTCTTACCAAACCCCTGCAAATACTACCCAAGAGCTCTACGTGTTCTCATACAACAGTGGAGATTACTGCTTTCCGACATCTTTGGTCGTCTGATAGTCGGCATGAATCATTGTTTATATAGCCTGCATTAGTGTAAGAGGAGGTCATATTTTTATTGAAATCATTTCTCATTTACAAGTACTGTCCACTTTTTTCATTTGTTTGAATGTCATACTATACATCTGAAAATCTTTTCCTGTATGTAATTAACAAGCAGAGTCTTATTCTATGTTACTTAAAATTTGAAATAAATTGCTGCAATAGTTTCTGATTAGTGTCTGTTTTTCACATTGATGCTTATTTTTAGGAGTAAAGTGTAAATTATCTATTTTTTTTTATAAAATCCCTTAAATATTGATGTTCTTTGAGTTTCATCTGGAATGGCTTTTGATAGTTTATTTAAACTTTACATTTTAGTATTTATATAAAAGTAATTAAATTGTTTTCATTAACAAGTAAAGCTACTATACATTAATTTATATTTTTGAAATGCTATGCAAATACCCAGATTTACTAGACATGTTAGATTAGTGAAATCTATAAAGTATGAACGATTATTTATTGTGAAATGGTCACAATGCCGGGCTGCAATTTTTAATCATATTTTTAATTTATTTCATTTAAAATATATTAAATTAATACCGTAGTGTCTTGCTTCTGTACTGTGAGTCATACTTTTCCTTTACAATTGAGTCGTGCTGGTCATCCATATAACTTCTTTCAGGGGAAAGTTTTGAATTGAAATAATATGACTTCTGCTGCAAACTGGAAGTTTGCATATAGTTAATCAGGGTGTCGTGTCCGTACGGTTTCCATATCTGGTCGTAGATTTCATCTGTCCAACATTTTCTCGAGAATAAGGAAAGACAGACAGACGACAGTGGGAATTTATAGGTCTACAATTTTTTCAAATTGCAACCCAATTATACCAATTAATTGCAAATGACTCTAATAATTTTGAGACATTACTTCTTAAATAAACTTGCATTTATGAAATAGGGAAAATATTTTCAGTATTCCTTAGACTTTGGACAAAACTAAAATATAAAACATAATGCTGTATGTGTGACTAAAGTACGCCCCTCAGCCACCTAAATTTACATTTGGTCAACTTACATTTTACAATATACATTTTACATTATACAACTTACAAATACTTTGACGACCTTTCAACAAATTTCTCGGTTATTAAATCAATACAAAATTCTTTTAATAATGGATAAATTATTACATATATTTCTTGTCTCATTAAACATTTTACCATTTAATTAATTGCAAATATATTAAAACCTTGATTAAATACAAATTATGCAAAACAAGAAGTTTCTTGTTTTGCATAATTTCTTGTTTCTTGTAGGGTGAAGATGCTGGAGAAGCTGAGGAGTTGGTGGTGGAACTTGAGGGTGCAATTCCGCAGAGGAAAGAAGCCCCGCGACGACTCTCTTTCCGTCTTTCCGTGCATTCACCCTTCCGACGACGGAAAGCGAGGAGTCGGTACGAGTTTCCTCGGTTCTGGTTTCCCTTCTGGGAGATTCTCGGTTTGAGGAAGGGGGTGGCAATATTTTGTCAAGTTCGTCAGATCACGGAGACAGTACGGATCCCTCATCACTGTTGGTTCTGGCAGAGATATTCTTTGCCGAACCAGACGGGATTCGTCCGGTCGACGGGATAGAGTTCGGATACGTGTTTCGTCTCTGGGACCTGCACAATAGGGTGCAGGAGGAACTCCATCCCCGGCCATACGATCCGTTTCGTGATGAGTGGCATTCGAAACTCCCCGAAGACTTGACGAAGTACGCGTTGTGGGACACTGTGCACTTTGCTAAACACGTGGTGGACGAGAACCTCTTCGCTCTTCATCACTCATTGAGCCGGACGAGACGCCGATGGAAATTGCGCAGACTAATCCACTTTCTGGCAGAGTTTCCAGCCTATAGATTTTCCAGGTAAAAATCGGAACCCATGGAGCACACCTTAAATAGGCGGGATGGTAAACTTGCGAAACCACAAAGGAATACGTTGGAGGCAACGTATTATTATTCCTTTGTGGTTTCGCAACCCATAGGGATACCACTGACCATGGAGGAGAAGAGACGATTGGTTTATTTTCTTTATTTATTACAGTACTAACTTAGATATAAGACGGCAAGGTTTTTTTTTTTTTATTTTTCCCCCTTGCTATCTATACTTTAGTAAATTAAGCTAAAGAGTTAATACAAAGTAAATTTTTGCATACTAATTATTTTTTATCGTCTCTTAGTCTAATTTATTTTCATTAGCCTTTAAGTTACTAACCTAGTTTTAAGACGGCAAGGGAGTTTTTATTTTTTCCCCCTTGTTATACCAACACTTTACATCCAATCGCTAAACTAACAACCCCTCACGGTAACACACACAGTATTACTCTGGTGCTAAGATTGTTTTTACCTTTAATACCGGAAACTATTGTTAAAATTACAATTTCAATCTCCACAATGCCACTTATTGATATATATATATATTTTTTATTGTTTATAGAATTCTGTCATGGAAGGAAATATAATAAATTTAAAAATCCTAACACATTGTTTCTTAAAGGCAGAGCGAATGGTCTTCTATGAGAAACTGGCCCCCATTTAACTGTTGTAATTATAATTTAAGCTTACTAGATACATTCCAAGATGTGGGGAGGAAAATATAACAAAATCACACAAATACAAAACATTTAGTATTAACAACATTCTACACAGAATTACAAAATTAGAACAAAAGAAAATAAATTAAAATAACATTAAATTAAATTAGTGAG